ACCTGTCTGAAAATGAGCTGATCAGATTTTGGCCACTTGATGATGTCATAACGATGTTTTGTCTTGTGTAACCATTAGCCAATCAGCAACCAAGGTAACCCCCCCCCCCCCTATCACCTGAATCTCCTCCTAGAGCTCCATTGTGTTCTTTGTAACCAAATGTCTCTCAGAGGGGCGTGGGGAGGGGCTCCTTGTTTTCATCTAAAGTAACAGACAGAGAATCAGCACTTTGGAAACAGGGCTGAAACAGAGGGGATTATGGGTAATGCTGCAATGATCTGTTTGGTGTTGCAGCCAATCAGAGACAGGCTCTGGATATATCTGAGACCTGTGATGTATTGATGACAAACAGTTTAATAGGGGATCTTTAATATCTCCCACTAATCAACAACGTGACATTTGGTTCCCTAACCCTAACCCTAAATCTGCAGATAGCTGAAATGGACTTGCTCAGTTTAGATTACCAAGTCATATCGATTCCTCAACTTGAGCAGAAATCATTAAACAAATATATTTTTAAATAGCAGAATAAATAGCCTGTACATATTCTATATGTCTGTAATTGCAGTTTTTGATGTGAACACACTAACCAACTAGCAGTTAATGAAGTTATGTTTCCATCCTTACAATGAAGGGAAACCACTTCACTGGAAACAAAATGTTGAAACCACACCTTAACAAAATCTACATCCTCTTGTAGTCACATCTTGACCATGTTATGAAACTGCGTCTGCCGAGAGACGGTTTCTTTCTCCGTCAAACACCAACATCCTTAGAAACCACAACCCACATCTCCTCCTGCCTCTTTTTTTCAAACGGGTTGATTTAATGTGTTTTCTCCCTGTTATCAAAATAGCATACCCACTTTCCATCAAATCACCAATACTCTCCACATCCTGTGAGCTACTTCTAAGTGCCACTGAAGAAATGGGGGTTTTACAGGCTGCATAAAACCTGCATAATACCTGTTCCAACGGAAAAAGGTTTAACTGTGAGAAATAAAAATACCTTAGCAACAAAACAAGTCCTGCAAATGCACATCAGCATGTATCAAATAACTCTCAAGTCCAAAGCACCAAATCAAAGTCTGGCGTAAGTCAGGCGTACCAAAGTCTGACGTCGAATGGAAATAAGAATGAATAACAATTCCTTAATTGGAAGCCATCAGAAAAACGTACATTTCGTGGGCAGTTGAGCAACATTACAAGTCCTTAAAAAACAGCTGATTGATTGATCGTTGTTTTTCAAGAGAGGTTTGTCGTTAAATGTTATTTTCAGCCTCTGAAATAAAGAGAGTTGCTGATTTTCTCTGTTTTAGTTAAAGATATCACCTTGGCCTTAGAAAAACTTAGATGTACCGTACATTTTTAACCCTTTTTACTATTTTTAAAGACACCATCAATTAAATCTAGAAAATATTCTTCATCATGACCGGCAGTAACCCATTTCCTGCCTTTTCCATCACCTGTATAAAGTAGCATAACATAGAAATACTTAGTAAAGAAAAGTACATCAAAACTCTACTTAAAGCTCACCTATTATGCTATATTTGAACGATATATATTATAGGACCATATCTATAAAAAACATGTCTATGAAGTGAACAGATCACCCATTGTAGCCTCACACCCCTCTATTTCAGCCCTGTTTCTAAAGTGCTGATTCTGGGTCCTTAGCTTTAAATGTAACCGAGCTGCTGCTGACCCCTTTGGAGCAGATACTCAGCTAAATGCTGATTAAACACCATATCATGTTCTAAACCACATCAAGGATTCTCTCTGAAACAGTACGTAGCTCAAACTTTTTTTCTCTCTCAGGTTTACCACAAGGTGAGTTTCTTTTTATTTCCTGCTTCTTCACACACATGCTCTCCAGTACAGGTTAGCTCTGAGTGTTAGCGATGCTTGCTAATGTGAACTAGGACCATATTACTTCTGACGTTTGTGATGGACGATAGGATGGGGCGGAACATTGCCAGGAGTTCAATGTAAAGCCCGCCCACATTTGAGTAATTTCGTCATGACACACTGGGGACACATATTTATGTAGAAAAGACATCAAAAAAGTGCATTTTGCTTGATCAGTGACCTTTAAGTACAATGCTTGAGTAAATGTACTTCATTACACTCCACCAATTTAACTATTAACAACACTCCCCTCCCTCTCCCGTTCCTCACCCCCCTCTCTGAGCGACCCCCACCCGGTGACCCAGCAGAGCAACCCGGGCTCCAGCCGGTGTGCGGGGGGGGGCAGGCAAGCGGGTCGGTTGTGTCCGGCCAGCAGAGCGGAGGCGGGTCGGTCCAGCTGCAGCAGCGCCAGGTCGTAGTCGTGGGACTCGGAGTCGTAGTACGGGTGGAGCTGGATCCGTAAAACTCGAGCCACTTCTTCAGTGGAGCTGCTGGGGTTCAGAAGGAGCTTCCCCAGGTACACCGTCCACACCGAGGGGGCGTACAGACTGCAGGAGGAAGATTATTAACATTAATCGGTGTAGGACTACATATAGCAAGTTACTCCTCTATGCACCATTGGCCTTCGTGGAAGTATAGCGCTTTTCCAAGAGCTATTGTATATTTGTACAGCTTTAGAGGAAGTTGTTAACTGTTGCCAAGAAATACTTGAGCAACTGTTTCCCTCAGAACGTACTTTTTCCTTCAAAATGTCTACAGAAATATCAACACTTCCAGAACACTATGCAAGCTTTTAACCACTGTTTGAGGAACGCTGAGAGAGATGAATTGTTAACCCTCGAGTCTACAGGATGTGAAAGAGTTTTTGGCCGTGGTCCAGCCAGCTGAGCCTGCATGGCTTTGAAAGATGCGAGTGTATGTGAATACATTAGTACGCTGGCTTTGAGTCACACAGGCTGTTGCAGCAAAGACACAACAGAAAAAACGTTTGGTGGAAACAGAAAGGTAAACCAAAGCTGTCTGAACAGTTCTAACATGCTAAAAAGGATTTATCCACTTCATTGAATAAACATTTTGAAATGGGGACGGTCGCAACACTTTTTGAATTGCTCTCAATTACTCAGAGACTCTTCGGTGTAGACCAACCTTTTTTTTATATATATTAAACTTGCGTATCTGTGCTAATTATCCATATGGATTATAACATAAGACAGATCACTCAGAATGTATCTGAAAGTAAAAAAGTAAATTCTGTAAAAGTTAGTCAGCTAATTTCACTTTTTGTCTCAATAAGCATGCAACTATGGACATTATTATTAAAATAATATTATAGATTTATTTATAAAATAATATTAAAGTGTCAGTCAGGCAACATTTTAATATAAAGACAACTGGTTGCAGCGTTGAAAGCTGGGCACTGTTTGTTCATTAAAAAGCTGCTTAGTGGCACGAAAAAATTCAAATACCAGGTTTAAAATTACCCGGATCTCAAGCATCCTGCACTTACCTGTCGTCATAGAAACAGTGGGCGGCGGACACCACCCATTGGCTGGAGATGAGCGCCCCCCCGCAGATGTGGTTGCCCCGCACCTGGAGGCTGGCCTGCCATGGCCACTCCCCCTCCGTGGCGTTAGCCCCGCCCACAATACGACTGGAGAACTGCCTCAGGCCGCAGTCTGAACACACAGGAGTGTTAGAACAGGTATACATATGCAGAGCAAGTTCAATATGCACTGTAAAAACTGTAAGAAGTGTTACTCAAAGTAATTAGTTTATCTTGGCAAAATGACAACGTTTTCAAAAATGACCTCACTTAAAAAAAGGCTTACCCAGAAGAAAAAATCTCATGACTTTTTTCAGAAAATCCTGACTTTTTCTTAACATTTCAGAAATATGATTTTTACTCACAGTTCTGATATTTTCCAGAAAATCTTTAAATCGAATTTTTTTTGAAAATCTCCAAATCCTGACTTTTCTCCTGAAATGTCAACATCTTTGAAAAATTCTGAGATTTTTCAGAAATTCCTGATATTTAAAAAAAAATCTCAGAATCCTTACATTTAAAAAAAAAAAACAAGATTTTTCTTCAGTACAAATACACAGTGCCACTTTAATATTCACTCTGTAAACAAACTGTAAAACCTGTTACTGAGCGTGAACTTTTAACAATGAGGCAACAATTTCAAAGCTGTTTGCTGAACTTCTGCATTTTCTGAGTTGGTTAAATTTACTAATTTTGTTTGCCTGTTAATATAATCATTATGGTACAAAAACAAATGGCTGTCATCCCGTGCAAGCATTCAAAGTTTCAACCTCAAAACACTTGAGCTCTTAATCACCTCATTTTGAAAACAACTACTTTCCAAATAATTCGTTTAAAAAATGATGTTGATAAGTTTTGTTCTCAAAATCTCTAAATTGTAAAACTGTTGTCTGTAAATCTCAGAATTCTGACCTTTTTCTTAAAGTTATTACCTGATGTCAGAGCAAAGGATCAGACCTTAAACTGCACTGTAACTTTTATTCATGTATTTTTTCTTTTAATGTTTCTTTTATTATCTGTGCTTTTTAATGACTGTTTTTAAATGCCATTTTCTGAATCTCTTTCATTTTTGTAATGCACTTTGAATTGCCTTGTGTTGAAAAGGTGTTATATAAATAAACTTGCCTTGCCTTGATGAGAAATTTCAAATTCTGACTTTGGTCAGAAAATGTCAGAATTCTGGCTTTTCCCGAAAATATCGGAATTCTGACTTTTTTTCAGAACATTTAAAAATGTTGACTTTTTTCAGAAAATTTCAGAATTCTAAATTGTTTCTGACTTTTTCTCAAAATTCAAACTTTTAAAAAAAAAATATCCAAACCTTACTATTCTCCTGAATTCGGCCATTTTCCAAATTCAGATTTTTTTCCTATATATCCTGATTTTTAAGACATTTTTCAAAATCCTGACTTTTTACTCCCAACAAATGAAGTCTAATAGCATCTTTAGAAACCTGTCAAAGAAAGTATGAAACATATCACAAAGTAAATTACTAATAATATACTAATAAAACACATATTAATTAAGTGTGTTATTAAATGTGTGTATCTGCTCACCACAGTGCTCCTCATCGGAGGCGTCGGGGCAGTCGGTCACAAAGTCACACTCGGGGTTCGGTTTCTTCAGACACGTTCCATCAGCACACACATAGGTCATATCTGAACACTGCACACCTGCACATACACACACACACACACACTAAAACATTTACCAATGTGCAGAAGCTTTCAATCATGGCGTCTTGTGTTTTCTCTCTCTTTNATACACACACACACACACACACACACACACACACGCACACACACACACACACACACACACACACAATTCTGAGGTCAGAAATCAGTTCTTCTAAGAGGTCAAATAAAGCCACGAAAAAGATTAAAATATTAAAATGAAGGAAGTAGATTTAGCAAAAGGCTGGCAGGTGATTTATTGTGTGTGAGATGTGTGAGTGGTGTGTGTGTGTGTGTGTGTGTGTGTGTGTGTGTGAGTGTGTGTGTGTGTGTGTGTGTGTGAGAGACGGTGTTACCTTCAGTACAGTTCATCTCGTCTGATGCTGCGGGGCAGTCTGGGAGTTGGTCACACACCTTGTAGTAGTCCACACACTGACTGTCCTCTGGACACTGGTACTGCGCCACACACACTGTGTCACACACACGTACACACACACACACACACACACACACACACTAAAACATTTACCAATGTGCAGAAGCTTTCAATCATGGCGTCTTGTGTGTTCTCTCTCTTTTTTATTAAATCACCAATAAATAAATAAATACCACAGTTTCTCTCGTCAAGTCCGTTGGGACAGTCTTTGATTCCATCACAGGCGGGAACGCACAGGCCGTTAATGGTGCACAGAAACTGACCAGGGCACGCTGTAAAAAAACCACACACACACACACACACACACACACACACACACACACACACACACACACACACACACACACACACACACACACACACACCACACAAAGGTTACTTAGCAATGAATTTCTTGGTTGTGTTTACTGCATGCCCAACTCACGATCTGATTGGTTGAAGACTCTGTATCGCAGCTGAAGTCCTGGCCCTGTGATTGACACCTCTGACGTCATGACAACCGTGGTCGTCGTGGAGATTAGGAAGAGACGCTCGGTGTAGGGCTGCAGACCCCGAGTTCCGCACAGTCTGAGGAGAGGACAGACACACATTTTGGCACTTTTTATTGATTTCTTCTGAGAAAATGTCGATAACTCTGTACCAAAAGCATGAATACATTGCAAAAACGAAAGTGCAAAAACGTTTAAGAGACACACAACTGAATTAAATATATTTATCGCCAGAGTTAGCCAACAGGCAGTTTGTTTCTGTAGTCCGAATGTGTCAGTCACCCTAGGAAACCATTTATTATACTTACAAACATGCAACATTGAGACTCACAATACAGAATAGTAATATTACATGCCAAAATAATAAGATAAATTATTCTCAACAAATGGACCTTATTGTGATCTCTTATTTGACAGTGTTTCAAGATCACGCACAGCAGAAATACAGAGATAGAAACATACTGTAAATAAAAATATAACATGCTCTTGACTCTCAGTTTATCCACGGCACAAATAACAAAAAATGTCAGGCTTGATTGTGGGTTTAAAATCACAAGATGTAATTAGACAGGTTAAATTGAACAGAAATGTAAAACACCTCTAAAATGACAATGTCCTTGTCTTACAAGTGTGTATATAGCTCTAACAGGACACTGCTGCCCCCTGTTGGTCAGAACAGATCATGACCTGTATGAAGAACTTTCAACATGCACAAGCACTTCCTGTTTGACACTGAACCAGACATAGCTGGCCATTATAAATACATTTCTGGGATCTATTGATTATTTAGCAAAGGGGTGTCCAAACCTTTTCACAGAGGGCCACATTAAGAAAACTATACGAAGGGCTGGGCCACTTATGGAGGTTAGGTATACTGCCTCGTAAGTTAAGTTATGCAACATGTAGGTAAATTAGGCTTGATACATGAATATACTTTAAGAATAAAATAGCCTACATCACAGCTCTCTATAGGGTTTCATTTATCTTTTTAGCAACTTGTCCCTTAAAACAGAAGCTTCAGATTGATTATAATAAGAGGAAATATGAAGCGTGTATTTCAAGCTTGTTATTAGGCTTTTTTTTTTATCAACTAAGACTTGTTAGAAAATGTTTTCAACATTAATTGACTGAATGTATTTTAAAAGTGGGTTCATTAACACATGAATGCTACTGTGTAATATATTTTTACATATTTAAGAAGAACAATATAAGAAAATCACAAGTTTCATTGGTGGGCCATACTTCATTATACTCTTTTAATTTGCTGAGGGCCGATTCAAAATGGTCCAAGGGCTGTATTTGGCCCCCGGGCCGTAGTTTGGACACCCCTGATGTAGCACATCCTACCTGCGGTTCTGGACGATCCACTGGCCCTGAGTGCAGACCTGATTATACACGGCTCTGCTCAGCTCGTAACCATCGAGCTCCAGAGACAAACCCATCCCTGCAGCCGGCATCTGAAACCATACAGGGCAATACACAGATATACAATACAGTCAATCGATGTTTATTTATATAGCCCAATATCACATGTTACATTTGTCTCATTGGACTTTACAGTTTAACAATGAAGGTAAAGCATGCACAAACATTAATTCATCAACAATATGAGGGGCTGTTAATGGTTAGCAACAATGAATGAAATATTTTGAGTTTAAAAAATCTGGATAAATTAAGATACCACTGTAAATATTTATTTGGAGGAGTAATTGGTTTTCCAAGTTGTATAAGCTATTTCAAACAATTTCCCCATACATGATATACAAATATTGACGTTTGACAGACCTAAAATATTTGTGTTTAAAAATATTTTATTTTAATCACAACAATAAAAAATGTTTCACTTTTTAGAAATGTATATTTTGTGGAATAACCATGCATTATAATTACAATATTAATATATGTTGGCATCCTGCCCAAAAGCCTGCTGTTGGCGGACTTTATGACACTCCTGGAGAAAATCTTTAAAGAGGCCTTATTCTGCTTTCTGTGGAGTTCCCTCTCCTGAAGTGTGTAGGTGTAAATGGTCTGCAAAGCCTGAACTCCATGTGTTCCCTTCAGAGGGAGTTTCTCTCCCACACACACCTCCATTGGACTCCTTTGTTTACTTCCTCGAACACAGTGACATCACTTTAGAACACTCGCGCTCCTATTGGCTAGCAGTCCAACACATTGTAAGTGATAGGCTAAGGGGCGGGACATCTCTAAGCAGTCGACCAATCAGAGGAAGCATGGAAACATTTCAGAGCTGTAAATGGATGAGGGACTCTTACGGTAAAGCTCCAGGTACAGTTTGTGTTAGGGGGGTAGTAGCTGGGGAAGAAAGGCGTGCTCAGAGACCCCTGGACCCCCGAAACTGCCTTCAGCTCTATAGAGGAGCTAGAGTCTGAGAAACAGAGAGAAAAAGTGTATGATACGCAATAAAATATACATTCTGCCACAAAACGTTAGCCTAAAGCTCCTTCTCTGTCCCTGGTATGTAAAGCTGTTTGAAATGTTTCTGAACTGGTAGAAGAAGGTCTTCAGGTAAACTCACTGCGGCGGGTCCAGGTCTGTGCAGATAGACTGAAGGGGTCTTTGTAGTTATATAGACCCTGTTTCCAAACCACCGTCATCCACTCTCCTGAAGACAGGACGCGCACCAGCCTCTCATGTCTGCTGCAGCCGTACACACTGTGAGAACAGAGGGAAACAGGAATAGTATAGTAGGTCAAATAAAGGTTAACTTAAATTATGTTTGGCTTCAATTAAAGGTCTCCTATCATGCAAAATGCACTTTTGTATGTCTTCTATACATAACCATGTGTCCCCGGAGTGTCAGAAAACAAAACCCTCTCTCTTTTCCTCCATACCCAAATCTCTAGAAACGGGGGAACAACGGAGCTGATCCAGATTTGCTGCCGATATGACGCGATATCGGAAATGTGGGCTGGCTTTACACCCACGGCCCTATCAGAAACCTTGCCATCAGAAACAATGCGCAACGTGTTTTGGAAGTAATATGGTCTGTGTTTACATTAGCATCGCTAACACTCAGAGCTAACCTGTACTGGAGAGAGTATGTGTAAAGAAGCAGGAAATAAAAAGAAACTCACCTGGTGGGAAACCCTCAAGAGAAAAAGAGTTTGAGCTCCATACTGTTTCAGAAATAATCCTTGATGTGGTTTGGAACATGATGGCGTTTAATCACGGCAGCGTTTAGCTGAGTATCTGCTGGTAGAATTCTCCTGATCAGATACTCAGCAAAAGCTCCCCCCTCTTTTTCTTTTTCTTGTTTAAAGCTACAGACCCGGAATCAGCACTTTAGTAACAAGCTGAAATAGAGGGGGATGAGGCTAGAATGGGTGATCTGTTTGGTATTTTGAGCAAAATAATTCATAGAAATATTTTTTATATTTTTTTATATATCTGACACCTATAATATTCAATCTCAGGATCCATGTATCTGTGATCCTCTCCAGAATGGAAGTAGTCATCACATACAGAGCATCAACTAGTTCCTGAACAGTGTCCTTCACATGCTGATATCCAAGAGAGGGAGTTCCACAGTCACAAGATGGAGGAATACTGATTCAAAGCAGTATTCTATGCTTAGTTCAGATTAGCTAAGGCCTGTGTAAGCAATTAACATGACAGTCATATACAGTACCTATCTCCCTGGAGGCTGTGTCATCATGTTTAATCGTTAAACATAGCTATCGTATGTTCAACACTGTGTCTCATGAGCTTCTTTTATGTAATCATACATCCGGTTACGTACACAGCTACAGTTGGGCCTTTGTTATCATGTGCTACTCTGATATAGACAAAGAGTACACACAGTATTTTCCCAACAGCGTATGAAACTCACGATGTGATGAGGTGTGTGTCGGCAGGGGTTATGGAGTCATACACCACCAGTCGGTCGCGGCACTCAGGCAGCAGCCACTCCATGTGGAGCTCCAGCTGCGAGCCGGGGGCCGTCTGGAGGTGCCACAGGCAGGAGGAGCGCTGCGTGTCGGGGCCGCGGAGAGCCAGGGGGCCGCTGGAGACCACCAGCTGGTAACGGTAACAGTCTGGTGGAGAGGACGGCAAAAAGAAATCCACAGTTAGAGGTTCATTTGGTATTATGTGGGACTTGTGTTGAAGTACATGTATGTATATTTTGCTTTGATTTTATGTTTAGAGCCATGAATAAAACACTAGAAGACAAATATATATAATCCCTTTTTCCACTAAAGCCTGGAGCATTAAAAAACAGCGAATAAGCGATTGTCCTATCATTATCATGGCATTAGTAAATTATCGCAATGTAATTAGAAAGCTCTGTATTTGCATTGAACATGGGGCTTTATTACGAGAAATATTGGGTAAACAAAGATTTTAGAGGGTGGTGCGCATGCTGGTGCTGCACCATAATCACAGCTCAATCAAAGTGAAAAAATTGATAGAAAGATAAATAAGTAAGAAGAAGCAAATGAAAAATAAAAAGTGATACCAAATGAGGCTTTCAAAAGCTCTATAACTTTGGAGTTGGTTTCTGTGGGGAGCAGATCACAAAGCAAATCAAAATAAAACAATCATCACACACACATTCCTGTAAATGCCCCAATGTGAGGTCCAGGCAATTTCGGGAGGGGAATAAGGACCACCCATTCTGATATACTTAGAGACATATTATTACTGCATTTCAGCACCAAGTGGCCACCTGAGTTTAGCTTTCTCCTAACATTCTTTAAAAAATGTAAACAAACATTAATTCTTTTACATTTTGCCTTTCAACGGGGGCGCTGTTGAGTTAATTTAGTGATACACTTGTTTAGCTACCTTTTGTCATTAGTTTGCAGTTATTTTTAGGTGCAATTTATATTTTAGTATCGACAATAATTAATTGATGAATGGTTTAGAAGTGTTTAAACATAGTTGCACAGTTTAAGATTCATATACACTATATAGACAAAAGTATTGATCCACCTACACATTACACCTACAAAAATGTCACAAACTGACTTGTTGCAACGGTGGCATCCTATTACAGT